GTGGGTCACATGCTATTTTTTTTCTGGATGTGAGCAACAGAGGACACTGGTGCCAACCATCAATGCAAATGCGAGCAGCAGAGGATGCACTCGGCTAAAATACTGTGATGGCAAAAAGGAGTTCAACGACGTCTTCACCTACACGAAAAGAGTGTCGTGATCCGGATTTGGACTGGGGATGCTGCAGGCACAACACAAAGTACTAAACAACTTAACAGAGAAAGCAATCCACTCACTCAGGCCTGCACACGACCGCTTAGAAGTGACTGAACATACATAGTCGACAGCAAGCTTCAGCTCGTTTCTCTAAAGTCCCCCACCACTGCTTGCTGAGACAGCAACCAAGCATTACAGAAGGCAAAACAACACCAAATGCTGGGAAATAACACATCGCCACATCTTTTCTTGAAGAGGAAGCCCACCTTCCTCAAAGGCTGGTAAGAGGACAGCAAGTGATTAGGGGAGGTCTGCAACAAAGTGACAGACCTTCGCCCAAACAGGGACTTGAACCCTGGACCCTCAGATTAAAAGTCTGATGCTCTACCGACTGAGCTATCCGGGCTCTTACCAAGGAACAGGCACCTCGGGGATTTAACAGCACTTTCTCCATAAAGTGTTCCTGCTTTGTCAGCTTAAAATGTGTGGCATCAAATGATGAAGACCACAATTTGTAAAGGGGCAAGAGAGATGGGCTGCTCCTGGCAAGCTAGGAACACTGACATTGAAAGAGTGTTCTTTTTTTCATGGCCGGTTGCTAACTCTAAGGTGGTTTGGACAAACAAGTAATTGGTACACAATGAGAAGGTTTCTGTTTCACTATGCTAAGAGAGAGCAAATCCGACATTTCAAAACACTAATATGCAAGATTCACCACAAAATATAAGGCAGCAACTCTTGAGCTGCACACTGTGAAGGCCTTGGAGTTATCGGGGATGCCAAAGCCATTGCTCCGATTGCCTGAATAGAATGGCCAAAATCACAGATGATCTGAGCCTTTTGAAACGGTGCTCATTTCAAGCTTGAAAAGAGATGTGGGTTGCCCATTTTAAGTGCTGCATATGAAGTAAGAGAAAAATCCAGATTGTACACAGCTTCTGGATGTCACAATTCCTGTCGCAACCAGACAAAGTGACAAGGATCAACGTAGTCAGCAGGGTTCGAACCTGCGCGGGGAGACCCCAATGGATTTCAAGTCCATCGCCTTAACCTCTCGGCCACGACTACTCCTGCCTGTGGGTCACATGCTATTTTTTTTCTGGATGTGAGCAACAGAGGACACTGGGGCCAACCATCAATGCAAATGCGAGCAGCAGAGGATGCACTCGGCTAAAATACTGTGATGGCAAAAAGGAGTTCAACGACGTCTTCACCTACACGAAAAGAGTGTCGTGATCCGGATTTGGACTGGGGATGCTGCGGGCACAACACAAAGTACTAAACAACTTAACAGAGAAAGTAATCCACTCACTCAGGCCTGCACACGACCGCTTAGAAGTGACTGAACATACATAGTCGACAGCAAGCTTCAGCTCGTTTCTCTAAAGTCCCCCACCACTGCTTGCTGAGACAGCAACCAAGCATTACAGAAGGCAAAACAACACCAAATGCTGGGAAATAACACATCGCCACATCTTTTCCTGAAGAGGAAGCCCACCTTCCTCAAAGGCTGGTAAGAGGACAGCAAGTGATTAGGGGAGGTCTGCAACAATGTGACAGACCTTCGCCCGAACAGGGACTTGAACCCTGGACCCTCAGATTAAAAGTCTGATGCTCTACCGACTGAGCTATCCGGGCTCTTACCAAGGAACAGGCACCTCGGGGATTTAACAGCACTTTCTCCATAAAGTGTTCCTGCTTTGTCAGCTTAAAATGTGTGGCATCAAATGATGAAGACCACAATTTGTAAAGGGGCAAGAGAGATGGGCTGCTCCTGGCAAGCTAGGAACACTGACATTGAAAGAGTGTTCTTTTTTTCATGGCCGGTTGCTAACTCTAAGGTGGTTTGGACAAACAAGTAATTGGTACACAATGAGTAGGTTTCTGTTTCACTATGCTAAGAGAGAGCAAATCCGACATTTCAAAACACTAAAATGCAAGATTCTCCACAAAATAGAATGCAGCAACTCTTGAGCTGCACACTGTGAAGGCCTTGGAGTTATCGGGGATGCCAAAGCCATTGCTCCGATTGCCTGAATAGAATGGCCAAAATCACAGATGATCTGAGCCTTTTGAAACGGTGCTCATTTCAAGCTTGAAAAGAGATGTGGGTTGCCCATTTTAACCCCTTAAGTGTCACCCCCCTTTTTTTGAATATACATGAAAATGCACATTTCGAACTTAAATGGTTGTAATTCAAGAATGCTTTAGAATATAGACGTAAGATTGGTCTTGTTTTAAAGAAGACATTTGGCAGATTTTTGTAGAAGTGAAATAAATTAAGAAAGTGAAACAGAAAAAAAGTTATAGAAGTTTGAGTTTATGAAAATGTACAATGTAAAAAATTTAATTATTCATATTTTATATAAAATATATATTTTCAAAACCTGGGCGACTCTAAAACTGCAAATAAATCAAAGCCAAAAATCTGAACAAGTTGTGTTTCAAATTTTAGGTTGATATCTCAAAAAATGAGCTTTCAGTAAGATTTTGTTTGGGCGCAGTACCAAACTTTTTCACTAGATGACAACCAGACTCCATTACTGCCCATATAAGGGCGCCTCCATTTCCATATGTGTTTTGAGTGATATGAACCATTATTTCCACAATTTTCATACAATTTATGAAGTAGACATCCTATTCAGAAGTAATATGAGAAGTTTGGCAGATTTTGATATGATTTCAACCTCTAAGAAACATAAAAAGAACACGCATGTGCGTTTTAGCTTCCTGCCACATCATATAATTTTTTTCTTTATATAAAAAAAAAAAATTCAGACCTTTTTTTTTTAAATAATTGAATGGATGCTATCTTTTGAACTCTTGGCATGAAAACAAACTGAGGTTTCTACCCTTCTTTCATGATTTTTCATGTTCATCACTATTTCAAAATAAAGGTCTAAGAGTATGAAAATATTATTGTTGCAAATTGATAAATTACGGCTCCTCTGTAATTTATTTTGAAAATCAATCACCAAATATGGAAACTAGAGATTGTAAGCTTTCAAATGATATATAGTTTGTCAAGATTAGTTTAGGTTTAGTATAGGATATTACTGTTTTAAAAATGTAAAGGATTTGGGCCCACCGGTGGGCCCGTGACACTTAAGTGCTGCATATGAAGTAAGAGAAAAATCCAGATTGTACACAGCTTCTGGACGTCACAATTCCTGTCGCAACCAGACAAAGTGACAAGGATCAACGTAGTCGGCAGCGTTGGAACCTGCTCGGGGAGACCCCAATGGATTTCAAGTCCATCGCCTTAACCTCTCGGCCACGACTACTCCTGCCTGTGGGTCACATGCTATTTTTTTTCTGGATGTGAGCAACAGAGGACACTGGGGCCAACCATCAATGCAAATGCGAGCAGCAGAGGATGCACTCGGCTAAAATACTGTGATGGCAAAAAGGAGTTCAACGACGTCTTCACCTACACGAAAAGAGTGTCGTGATCCGGATTTGGACTGGGGATGCTGCGGGCACAACACAAAGTACTAAACAACTTAACAGAGAAAGCAATCCACTCACTCAGGCCTGCACACGACCCCTTAGAAGTGACTGAACATACATAGTCGACAGCAAGCTTCAGCTCGTTTCTCTAAAGTCCCCCACCACTGCTTGCTGAGACAGCAACCAAGCATTACAGAAGGCAAAACAACACCAAATGCTGGGAAATAACACATCGCCACATCTTTTCTTGAAGAGGAAGCCCACCTTCCTCAAAGGCTGGTAAGAGGACAGCAAGTGATTAGGGGAGGTCTGCAACAAAGTGACAGACCTTCGCCCGAACAGGGACTTGAACCCTGGACCCTCAGATTAAAAGACTGATGCTCTACCGACTCAGCCAAAGCTGGGGAACAATAGTCTATTTGAGGAAGGGGAGAAGGAAAAAGAAGGGGAAGAAGGAAAAAGAGGGAAAAGAGAAGGAAAAATGAGAAAAATTTAAGAAAAAATTAGAGGAAAGGGAAAAAGTAAACCCACCTTTCACACTTCTTTGTAATTTTTGGTAGATTGGTATTCATATAATAAAATATTCTCTTTTTGATGTATTTTACGGGGCAAATCACTGACGTGAATGACGCCGGTTCGAGTCCCACCTGGGACAAGGTTTAAATCATCCAATAGTCTACAAAGAATGCTGATTGTGAAGGAAAATAAATAATTTGTCACCAAGGTTAATTTCTTTGTGATTTGATACTGATATTTCAATGGAAACTGCATAAAATGTAAGCATTCTTTTCTTAATGTATGAACATCTATATTTATACATTGCATATGCTTTCATGCCTTAACACTTATTTTATTAAAAAAGTGTTTGTATCATACATGCTTTTATTTATTATTTACCCATATGAATATGGAGTTCCTTGAAATGTGCTATACATATGAGATATATAGGCCTATAATAATAATAATAATTAAAAACAATGTTTTGACTCAGGCTCACTGAATGATTACTGAACAACGAGAAACTCTTTTATGAACAATAAAATGTTTTTATTTTTTAACAATAAAATATAACATTAAACTATGCACATATTAATAAAGAGTATATATATATAAAATGACAAAAAGAACCACCCACCTAATAATGATAATAATAACAATAATAGATACATAATAACAGTAGTAAACACAAAAGTAGAAACACTACGAGTATTTAAAAAATATATATAAAAACATATCAAATAATTAAAATAAAAGTCCCTGAGTGGGGTCGAACCCCCAACCTAATAATAAATAACAAATATAATAGTAATAAACACACAAAGATAGAAACTTTATAAAACTATATACATAGTGGTGAGTATATATATATATATATATATATAAATAACTATTAACTATTTCTTTTTTTTTACTTTTTCAAGCCACTGTTCTTTTGTAAGAGTCTCTGTGACAGGGCAGTAGATAGTCCCTCTAAACTGGCTGTGCCCGGTCGCTGCAGTCCTAAACTGCCCACACTTCCTGCAGGTATTTGCCTCAACCTTTCTGTGGTATGGACGAGGGACGGTGGGTTGAGATTGACTGACCGTGGCAGGAGGTGGAAGGACAAAACTGGGAGTGGCTGGGGCTATAGGAAGAGGGCTTTGGGGGACAACAAACAGTGTGAAGGTAGGGGTAGTGTGGGAGGCAAGAGGGACAGTCGGGCTGGGGCTGGGAAGGACAGGTTCTGGTTGAAGGTTGCCAACAGGCCGAGGAATTATTGGCCTCAGGGTTGTCAGCTTGGGTACGACTGCCTCAGTTGTATAGCTAGTGATGCGCCTTTTTAATCTAGCTTGCCCAGCTGTGGTTTGTGGCAGTTTGTAAATATGTTGCTCTCCCTGGACCTGGGGAGGAGCAACAGCACGGACACAGGCAGGTGGGAGAGCCTCAGCAGCAACACCAAGAGGGTCAGGCAGATCGATCCCCTGAAGCAGAAGATTCTGATCTTGCTTCTTAACCCTGCCGTTGTGCCACTGAACCAGAGTGGTCTGATTCACCTCCACCAGCTGGAGAGTAGTGTCCTGCATGATGGCACCATTAGACAGGATCAGCTGCCGGATCTTTCGGTAATCTTGTAAAACGAGAGACCAGCGACTCAGCGTCACCTTCTCTTTCTTCCTCGGACTTCGATGGATGCAACAGAGCCTGATGAAAATGGCCTCCACGAGACGACAGCAGTCTGGCCATTGGGCAGGTGAAGCTGTAGATGCCAAAACACTCCGTTTCAGGCTGTCCACTCCAGGGGTGAAAACAGCCTTCTTTTTTGGAGACCTGAACCTCCCTGTTGTCAGCCTGTCCTGGTGTCTGGCAGCAAACTTCACTCGCTGCTTATCATATTGAAGCAGGCTCTGCCACAAGCACACAATGTCATCAACCTGTAGAAGGACAGAAGTATAGAGGCATAGATGAGTTAAAAGGAAACTGGTAATTTCGCACAGATAGTTCAGTAACACTGTTTTTACAGTCACATTGTGTTCTGTGTTCAAAATGCATTCAAAATGTTTGCATACCTGCTGCCTGCTCAGTGTTAACCCTGTGCTTGTCCTCAGCTCTACCAAATACTCAGCCAGTCTGTCCACCCGGTCCATTCCTGGAATGTTTTGGTCATCCACAGCCTAAAACAGTATCATTTTAAATGGTAAAGAAATAAAGAGATTAGTGAAATTACATCTTAATGGTAATATTAATCAGTTTGTTGAATAACAAATTAATTTGCTCGTGGCAAGTTCCTATTGTGAAATTTACATACCAAAAGCTCTTCAGGCACCTGAGTGGGGGAACCTGGTGCATACTGGACTATGGATGTAGTTGGCTGAGAGGAGAAGACGGCAGCAGCTGGCTGGGAGAAGGCATACTGGGATGAGGCAGCAGCCGACAGGGATGAGGGAGCAGCAGACTGGGAGAAGGCATACTGGGATGAGGCAGCAGCCGACAGGGATGAGGGAGCAGCAGACTGGGAGAAGGCATACTGGGATGAGGCAGCAGCCGACAGGGATGAGGGAGCAGCAGACTGGGAGAAGGCATACTGGGATGAGGCAGCAGCCGACAGGGATGAGGGAGCAGCAGACTGGGAGAAGGCATACTGGGATGAGGCAGCAGCCGACAGGGATGAGGGAGCAGCAGACTGGGAGAAGGCAGACTGGGATGAGGCAGCAGCCGACAGTGATGAGGCAGCAGCAGACTGGGATGAAGGAGCAGCAGACTGGGAGAAGGCAGACTGGGATGAGGCAGCATCAAACAGGGATGAGGGAGCAGCAGACTGGGAGAAGGCAGACTGGGATGAGGCAGCAGCCGACAGTGATGAGGAAGCAGCAGACTGGGATGAAGGAGCAGCAGACTGGGAGAAGGCAGACTGGGATGAGGCAGCAGCAAACAGGGATGAGGGAGCAGCAGACTGGGAGAAGGCAGACTGGGATGAGGCAGCAGCAAACAGGGATGAAGGAGCAGCAGACTGGGAGAAGGCAGACTGGGATGAGGCAGCAGCAGACTGGGATGAAGGAGCAGCAGACAGGGATGAGGCAGCAGCAGTCTGAGATGAAGGAGCAGCAGACTGGGATGAGGCAGCAGCAGACTGGGATGAGGGATGAACAGGCTGAATTGTAGGTGGGTTATAGTTAGCTTCATCTTCGAGGAAACTCAGTGTAGGGTCCTCATTGATGTCCTCCTCAAACCCTTCATCCTGCTCATCTACATTTACTTCCTCCAGCAGCTGGTCTGTCTGCTCATTGTCAGCATCCATTGACTGAAGTGGCTGCCCTGTCTGACTAAGTAAATAGTCCACTCCAATTAGCTCCCCTAAAAAACAAAATGCAGTGTGTTAAACATATAGCCCTATCATTAGCAAAGAACCATGTGCTGTAAAATGTACTGTGAGAGTCTTACCGGTGTACTGTGCAGGAGGTTGGAAGGTGGGCACAAGCTTCTCTCCAAAAACATTTAGACTGTTGGTGTTGATGCTTTGCACCACCTGCCCTGCGTAGGTGAGAAGAGGGGAGGATTTTGTGGAAATTGATGCTACTGCCCGGTCTTGGTTCCACCTGTTCAGGCCTTCCAGGAGATACAACTGAAAATTCAGTGTGTTAGCACTGGTTCCTGTAAAGAAGTGAACAATGAAAATTATGAAACTGGGATAATGAGTTCCTTCAGAAAATATAAAGTGATATTACATGTTCTATTGTGTTGAAAATGTACTTTACTGCAAACACAATCTGCCACAAACCTGGAATGAACCTGTTTAAGTGGCAGTGGAAAGACTCAAGGGAGGTCGAGCCCCTAGCACATCTGTACTTTGTGAGAACTAATTCTCCCTTGGTGGTGGTGGTGCCCGTCACAGTGTAGAGAAACACACCTGGTGGATCCTGGATGCACTTAACATGCCTCATCTGAACACGCCAGATGTGCTCTATCCTCACTGTGTCCAGCAAAGGAACCCCCATCATATCTCTCCCCTTATCCCCCTTCAGTTCCTGCAGAAGCCTGTCAAGGTAGCGGGTTGTGGACTCCACCCCACGAGTCCTCCGACGGCAATAGAGCGCCAGCTCTTTTTTGGTGATGCGTCGGTCCACAAGGGTATCTGTGATGACAGGCACACCTTCCTCCTGCAGTTGCTCTCTCTTTGCCCGCCGCAACAAAGCCACATCATCTGGGTCCCATTCAAAAATGCACGCAGAGAGACGTGACATGAAGACTGGGTAGAGAGGATGAGCATCAGTGGTGCACCCCACTGCCAGTCGACGCATGAAGTGCCAGATGTCCAGCCTGATATTGAGGTCAGGCCATCCTCCAAATCTGGCCTGTAGCTTGCTCTGCCCCTTCTCTATGCAGCAGCCACAGTCCACGTACAGCAGCAGTGGTGGAGCCACGGCCGCCTGGCTGTACCTGTTTATCAGTCCGGAGACCATGGTGTCCAGTGCTGGACCTTCCTGAGCAGTCAAGACACTAATAAGAATTTGTCCTGTCTCATTGCCAACAGAAGTCACCCACTGTGCTGTTCCCCTGGCTGTGCCTGCCAACTTCTTTGTGATCTAAAATCAACCAAATTAAAAATATTAATAAAGCATAACACAAATCATTTTCAAACTTCACAACAGTTAAAACATGTAATACAGTAATAAAACACACAGTAATAATGTCAAACAATTACCTGTTTTGTTGAGTCCATTTTCAAAATGGTCCCAAACGTGGAGGTTATGCTTGCCTTGATGTGGTCTATGCGACTGATAATGTCCCTCCCATAAACTGACAGCAGCCACTTGCTAGTAGGGACATCAATGGGCTCTGGAGGCTTTTGGCACATGACAGGTAAGAGGCTGGGGCGGTTGATAAATCCAGCACACTCCTCCATATAGTGCGCCAAGCGGTCAAGCCACTCCTCCCCATGGTTCTCCCTCAGCTGTTTGACAAGTCTTGTGGGACTGTTGCCCAGCGTCCGTTCCCTCAGCATGCGTATGACACGAATGTCACAAGCATACCTTTGTGTAAAAGAGAAGATTTGCTTATGTAATTTATTTTATGCAAAATAAAAAAGACTTATATTTTGCATTTACTTTATATTATACATTTCTGCTTCAGAAAATAAATGATTAATTTTGAAATATGAATGTCTTTATTATAAACACATTACAAAATTCTGTACAAGGCGTGTAGATTGTAACTCACTTCTGTGTCAAAATCAGACGGAACAGTCTTCTATGGGGCACGTCGAGCTGGTCCAGGACAGTCTGACTGGTAGACAGGTAATTCAGGCAACACACAGTACACCTGAGAGTCTCTGTTACCATAAGGTAGTACCTGTCGATGTCCAGGACCTTCCGTGCTCTCTTGTGGAGGCCATAGCCAGTCAGTTGCTTCCCACATGCAGGACAGAACAGTCTGAACTTCCACAAGTGGTAGGGCATCCATACCAGAAGCCTGTGATTAAAAAAGCGATCTGGAGATGGAGCCTGGTGGTAGATGAGGGAAGGGACGGGTGGCTCATACCAGAGCTTCAAGTCTGTCCGAAGTCTGCCAGAGTGAAAGATCGCAGAAGCAATCCACCTCTGATCCTGTGAGGGGATTGTCTGCCTCATTTTAGTGGGCAGCCAAAATTGATCTGGCTCGGATGCAGGAGCAGGTCCGGGCATAGACGGGGCAACATGCTCCTCCTAATTCAAAAGCAATGAAAGATTAGAGATGTAATATTAAAACATTGTTTCTCTCAAGTAATTCTACAAGGGGGCATTAGGGGACATTTCATGTCCATTTATGATAATTAGCCTATATTTTTTTCTAACAAAATTATCTTTAAGGTATATTTATTATAAAAAAAATAAGTTCCTGTCCTTAGTGACTGTGCTGTGAATATCACATGGATATCTGCAAAAAAACTGGTTCTCAAATTTTTTTTTTTTAAATCACTGTATACACGGCTGAATGGAAAAAATTAAAACTCGGATACATGTTTTACTTGAAGTTTAACATTCAATTTGTATGTAACGGTTGACAAATTCACCAGGGAAAAATTCCTTGTAATATCAAGATGGTGTTTAATGATTATGCTTGGTAACTTGCAGATATGTTAAGACAAATATATAAACTGAAACCAACAGCAATTTTTGTAATGTACCCCCCAATTTTTAGAATAAGCCACATGTACATGTACTTCACACACAGGAAATAAGAGATGCCACAAAAAATGATGGGCACTCACCAAGGATGTAAGAGTCGGACTAGCTGCAGAAGGAGGTCTAGCTTCAGGGGACGGACTGGTTGAAGGAGATCTGGCTTCAGGAGACGGACTGGTTGAAGGAGGTCTGGCTGCAGAAGGAGGTCTGGCTGCATAAGGAGGTCTGGCTGCAGGAGACGGACTGGTTGAAGGAGGTCTGGCTGCAGGAGACGGACTGGTTGAAGGAGGTCTGACTGCAGAAGGAGGTCTGGCTGCAGGAGACGGACTGGTTGAAGGAGGTCTGACTGCAGAAGGAGGTCTGGCTGCAAAAGGAGGTCTGGCTGCAAAAGGAGGTCTGGCTGCAGGAGACGGACTGGTTGAAGGAGGTCTGGCTGCAAAAGGAGGTCTGGCTGCAAAAGGAGGTCTGGCAACAGGAGAAGCACTGGCTGCCGGTTGAATCGTTGAAGGAGGCGGACTTGGACTACCAGGCTGTAAAGATACATATTGTACATTATCAACAAACATAATAATGATGGTGATGAAACATATTAAGGTCTTTTTAAATTACCTGAATCCGCCTTTGAACATTTAGGTTGGGTTTGGCTGCTGAACTAATGGATCCTCCAAATCGTGGCTTTGTAAACTAAAAGAGGGAGATTATTGAACAGATTGACATTCAAGTAATATCATACATGCATTGGAAATTTGAAGATATGAATTCCCTATTGAAGAATACACAAATAATCTTCCAGCCTACCAGTAAAAGGCATTGGGAAAATCCGGAGATCATTGCTTGTGGAGGAGGTAATCTACTCACATATTAAAATAATGTGTTACCATTGATAAGTTAAGTGTAGGCCGTGTAAAGGTCGGGGCTGAGGTAGAGGTAGAGGTTGGGACAGCGGTAGGAGTGGATGCAGGCGGAGCACTTGTGGCCTGGTAAAAGAACAATTAAGAATGAGGAAAACAGGTTTTATTCATTTATCATTCATGGTACATTTTACAGATCTAATTAAGCAAAGGCATGCCAAAATCTAACATTCACAGACATTTATACATTTAATCAGGACAATCCATCTCTGTACACCAGCAAGAGTCTGAGAGCAGCAAGGAGAAGCTGTGTATAAAACCTGAATAAAACCTGTGCTTCGTAATCTGTGGATAAGTCTATTTTGATATTTGGAGAAATAGACACAGTGGGCACAAATTAATAATTTTCAGATTATATATATTTTATTTATTTACAATTATACACTAATTAATCTAGCCTAACTGCAAATTAGAGCTGAAATTGTAATTGACTGTCTAATTCTAAGCTGCAAAAAAAAAAATATATATATATATATAAATAACATAACATAAATATTATTGATATAGGTAATGTTAATGGACTGCTGACACATCAACTTTGTTTGAGGTAAGATTTAACAGCTTTATACAAAATATTTTTTTGAATAAATGAGCAAAAACCAAAGCCTTTCAAAAGTTATCTCTGATTTAAAAAAAAGTATCTCTTCCTATTTAATTGCTGGAGGAGCTATGGGACTAGATATAGCCAACATTGTTATCCACGGTAAAAGGTGTAAACAGCAGTATCACTTTATCAAACTTTATCAATAAAAAGCTACATTTCAAAGACTATTGCTGCATCTCACAGAAGTGAACTTTGAAGGCATTTGAGTCACAAATATGATCGTGTGGTCCTACAGTGAAGTAAGATGTAAGAGATGATAACCTGAAAGTCTGAAATGCATACCTTAGCCTGATGGAATCCACAAAGACATTTCTGTGGTCCACCAAAAAGTGTTGCCTGGCGAGGGACCTGCATTGGACATTTATCTATCTGTACAAATAAAGACCTCTAAGTTATGTTAAATCAGTTTTAGCATGTTTCTTTCATTAACTTTTGTCAGTACATACCCTCTGAAAGAAGTCAAACCATTTCTTCTGGCGAGGGGCAGGTCTGTTGCCAGCTTCCGAGGGCCAAACCCCTGTGCTGGCAAACCGCCGCAGACGGGACATCCACTCATCGTCCCCCATGGCCTTGTGTGACTTTTTAGACATCTCTGTAACATTTGAAACATGTTTAGTCTTTTTAGCTAAAACATAAATTACATTTACGTATTACTAACACTTGACTACTTATTACTGTATTTGATACAGTACTACTATAATTAAACACTAAACAATAACACACCAGAATCATGATTGATAATGACATTTTTAAACACACCTTAAAGGACACTGAAAGCTAAAAATCCCCGAATGTATTATTGTTGTTTATGTAGTTCATCATTGGAGACAATAACATGAGAAGTGCTGCAATATACTACATCAAGATTGATAATGACACTAAAGAACTTTATGCATCATAAATTACATTTTAAAATGCAAATTAAAATATGTTGTTGTTAATGTAGTAGAATGTAGTTTATCAAAAAATTGTGTAATATGAAAAGTGCTGAACCTATAGATCATAACATTAAAAAAGTCCCTTAATGCAGCATAACATACGAGAAAAAGTTATATGAAATATGTAGCTGATGTTAATGTAACATAGTTCATCAAAACATTAACATAAGAAATGCTGCAGGTTGCCAGCAGATCAAGATCGCGATAGATCATAACAATAAACACCTTAATGGATCACATAAAATAAAATACGAGAATAAAAAATGAAATATGTATTAGTATATTGTATTAGTATATTGTTGTTAATGTAGTTTATCTTACTTGTTGACATTCGATGTATGAACGGCTGCAGTACTTCGGCGCGGGTACACCTGAGAATATAAAAAGAAGACGTCTCTCCACGGCGCCTGAAAGATGAAGATCCGACGCATGATTGGCCAAAGAATCCTCTCAAAGATGAAGCCAGAGAACGCCATTCGCTCAGCAAAGATGGAGATCCGAAGCGTGATTGGTCGAGAAAGATGAATCCCGATAACGCCATTCGCCAAGCAAAGATGAAGATACGATGCGTGATTGGCCGAGGAACTCTGACAAAGATGAAGTCCGAGAACGCCAATTCGCTCAACAAAATGGAGTTGCTCGCGCTTGATTGGCTGTGTGAAACAGACGCACGGCTGTCAGGTACCGCCATCCGGGCTCTTACCAAGGAACAGGCACCTCGGGGATTTAACAGCACTTTCTCCATAAAGTGTTCCTGCTTTGTCAGCTTAAAATGTGTGGCATCAAATGATGAAGACCACAATTTGTAAAGGGGCAAGAGAGATGGGCTGCTCCTGGCAAGCTAGGAACACTGACATTGAACGAGTGTTCTTTTTTTCATGGCCGGTTGCTAACTCTAAGGTGGTTTGGACAAACAAGTAATTGGTACACAATGAGTAGGTTTCTGTTTCACTATGCTAAGAGAGAGCAAATCCGACATTTCAAAACACTAATATGCAAGATTCTCCACAAAATAGAATGCAGCAACTCTTGAGCTGCACACTGTGAAGGCCTTGGAGTTATCGGGGATGCCAAAGCCATTGCTCCGATTGCCTGAATAGAATGGCCAAAATCACAGATGATCTGAGCCTTTTGAAACGGTGCTCATTTCAAGCTTGAAAAGAGATGTGGGTTGCCCATTTTAAGTGCTGCATATGAAGTAAGAGAAAAATCCAGATTGTACACAGCTTCTGGACGTCACAATTCCTGTCGCAACCAGACAAAGTGACAAGGATCAACGTAGTCGGCAGGGTTCGAACCTGCGCGGGGAGACCCCAATGGATTTCAAGTCCATCGCCTTAACCTCTCGGCCACGACTACTCCTGCCTGTGGGTCACATGCTATTTTTTTTCTGGATGTGAGCAACAGAGGACACTGGGGCCAACCATCAATGCAAATGCGAGCAGCAGAGGATGCACTCGGCTAAAATACTGTGATGGCAAAAAGGAGTTCAACGACGTCTTCACCTACACGAAAAGAGTGTCGTGATCCGGATTTGGACTGGGGATGCTGCGGGCACAACACAAAGTACTAAACAACTTAACAGAGAAAGCAATCCACTCACTCAGGCCTGCACACGACCGCTTAGAAGTGACTGAACATACATAGTCGACAGCAAGCTTCAGCTCGTTTCTCTAAAGTCCCCCACCACTGCTTGCTGAGACAGCAACCAAGCATTACAGAAGGCAAAACAACACCAAATGCTGGGAAATAACACATCGCCACATCTTTTCTTGAAGAGGAAGCCCACCTTCCTCAAAGGCTGGTAAGAGGACAGCAAGTGATTAGGGGAGGTCTGCAACAAAGTGACAGACCTTCGCCCGAACAGGGACTTGAACCCTGGACCCTCAGATTAAAAGTCTGATGCTCTACCGACTGAGCTATCCGGGCTCTTACCAAGGAACAGGCACCTCGGGGATTTAACAGCACTTTCTCCATAAAGTGTTCCTGCTTTGTCAGCTTAAAATTTGTGGCATCAAATGATGAAGACCACAATTTGTAAAGGGGCAAGAGAGATGGGCTGCTCCTGGCAAGCTAGGAACACTGACATTGAAAGAGTGTTCTTTTTTTCATGGCCGGTTGCTAACTCTAAGGTGGTTTGGACAAACAAGTAATTGGTACACAATGAGTAGGTTTCTGTTTCACTATGCTAAGAGAGAGCAAATCCGACATTTCAAAACACTAATATGCAAGATTCTCCACAAAATAGAATGCAGCAACTCTTGAGCTGCACACTGTGAAGGCCTTGGAGTTATCGGGGATGCCAAAGCCATTGCTCCGATTGCCTGAATAGAATGGCCAAAATCACAGATGATCTGAGCCTTTTGAAACGGTGCTCATTTCAAGCTTGAAAAGAGATGTGGGTTGCCCATTTTAAGTGCTGCATATGAAGTAAGAGAAAAATCCAGATTGTACATAGCTTCTGGATGTCACAATTCCTGTCGCAACCAGACAAAGTGACAAGGATCAACGTAGTCGGCAGGGTTCGAACCTGCGCGGGGAGACCCCAATGGATTTCAAGTCCTTCGCCTTAACCTCTCGGCCACGACTACTCCTGCCTGTGGGTCACATGCTATTTTTTTTCTGGATGTGAGCAACAGAGGACACTGGGGCCAACCATCAATGCAAATGCGAGCAGCAGAGGATGCACTCGGCTAAAATACTGTGATGGCAAAAAGGAGTTCAACGACGTCTTCACCTACACGAAAAGAGTGTCGTGATCCGGATTTGGACTGGGGATGCTGCGGGCACAACACAAAGTACTAAACAACTTAACAGAGAAAGCAATCCACTCACTCAGGCCTGCACACGACCGCTTAGAAGTGACTGAACATACATAGTCGACAGCAAGCTTCAGCTCGTTTCTCTAAAGTCCCCCACCACTGCTTGCTGAGACAGCAACCAAGCATTACAGAAGGCAAAACAACACCAAATGCTGGGAAATAACACATCGCCACATCTTTTCTTGAAGAGGAAGCCCACCTTCCTCAAAGGCTGGTAAGAGGACAGCAAGTGATTAGGGGAGGTCTGCAACAAAGTGACAGACCTTCGCCCGAACAGGGACTTGAACCCTG